AGGTGGTCAGGGAGGGCCTCCCTGGAAAGTGAGCTGAGAGCCAGGGGACCTGAGGGACTGAGCCACGGGCGGGTCCAGAGGGAGAGCACGTCAGGCTGAGGGTCCTGCAAGTGCAAAAGCCGGAAGGGGGAGCCCCTGGGGTGCTCTTGGGGGAGCACAGACACTGGGGAGAGCGAGGAGGCCAGAGAGAGAGAGAGATGAGGGGTGTCAGGAGGCGTGGGCTGGGGGGGCCCAAGAGGCCCTTACAAAGACTGTGGCTTCAGCTTAAGGCAAGGTGGGGGCGATGAGAAAACGGAGCAGTGGGGGGGATGCTTTAGGAAGCAAAAAACAGTGCAGAGGAACCAACCTGAGGGGCGAGTGGGGACCAGCACCCAGGGGAGGTGATGGGGTCCGGCCTCAGTGGGGCCGTGGGGCTGTGGGGCTCAGGAGGCCCCGGGGGAAAGGGCCGGCAGGAGCCACTGCGCGTCTGGGTAACCAGGAGACCTGGGGGCCTGCGTCAGAAGCAGGAGCCAGGGTGGAGCTGAGCACCTGTCACCCACTAATAGCCTGTTTGCATTTCACAAGCACGGACGGGCCTATCAGGCACTGAGAACGACTCCACACTGTTCTCGGGGTGCCACGGCCCCTCCTGGGCTCAGCGGCAGGGCAGAGGCGTCCATCCCCGGTGTCACACCACGACCCCTGGCTCTCCGCAGGGAGTCACCATGTGGTCCACCAGACCTCACGCACCCCTTCCCAGGGCTGCCGGGCTTCACCCCCTCTGCCTGGGCTGCCACACACAGCCCCCCGCCGAACTGATTCTCCTCAAGTCCCCCAAACCTCGAACCAGGCCCATCCTCCACAGAAGTGACAACTTTCAGGAAACCAAAGGCACACTTAAAGACGCTCCAAGGCCCCACTGGGTCACCTCTAGGCCTCTACAACCCCACGGCGTCTGGGCCCCTCCAGGCAGAAGGACAGGGAGGTAACAGAAGGGTGCACAGCGCCCCCAAATGGGCCCCCCCCAGACACAGGGCAGGGCCGGGAGGCCCACGCCGCCCCCCACGCCGGCCCTGTGAGCTGCACCCCTGCGCTGTTCTGAGCCCTCAGCAACTGGACACAGGAGGGCTTCCTCTCCTCTCCTCCTTTTTAATGTTTTTTTTAAATAATGAAGACATTCAAGAGAACTGAATTGCTACTTAGAAAGAACAGTGAAGACTGAATTTCCCCAGCGCCGCTCAAGGCCTGCTTAAGGAAGTTAAGGGCATACAATTGCTGCAATTTCACTCGTTCAAGACCTTTGAGAACCGAAGGACACCGTCCCTCTTCATACGCAAGAGACTGTGTGAGCCATCGGTCCCCGTGATACCCATGAGGGACAGAGCCCGATAGCCAAGCCCAGGTGTGCCTCTGGGGTGGCACCCCTCACCCAGAGGTCCCCACAGCCAGGCATCAGCTCTGGGGGCAGCTCACATGGCATGAGGGGAAACTTCCACCTGGTCTCCACTCTTCCTTCGAGCAGCTGCATTGCCCGCTCTGCTCCCTGGTGAGCGTGGCATTTGGGGTGGGTGACGGCTTTTTGTTTTGAAATAGTCCCCAAAGCAGTGAGTCTGACTCAGGCTGCCTCTGGCTGTGGCTGAGAGCTGGGGACTTTCGATCCCTGAGGGTTTAAACGCTGCCACAAGCTGTCCCTTTATCTGCCATCCTCGCTGAGATGAAGATGGGGCCTTAACAGGGCAGGGACCAGCACTTGGGGAACAGCCACTGAAAACTAATAGCAACAGAGAACGAGTGTTGGATCCTGGGCCAAGTAGAGCGAACACTTATCCCTAGAAATCCCCTCAACGACCCCATGGTCCCATCTCACAGCTGGGGAACATAGAGGTAACCGAGCTGGCCAGAAGCCGCCCAGCTGGGACCAGAGCCAAGGCTGCCTGGCTCTAAAGAGGTTTGTTAAGCTGGAGATTTTAAGGTGGACAACTACATGTAAAAGTCCACCCCGTAAGGAATCCAGCTAATCCTGCTCTGTAGTCCTGGGTCATCCCTGCCCTCCCTTTCCTCCTGGTCCATTCCCTGCTCCAGCGCCGCCAGTGAGACCACGTGCCACGTCCCAGACACTCCCCTGTCCTTGGTCCCAACTACCCACCGCACTCATCTGATCCCCGCCCGGCCTCCCACAGCTCTGAGAAGCAAACCACGCGCCCATCATGCAGGGCCCCCGGAGGAACCACACTCTTTCTCTACGATTCCAGGACTGCTGGGAGCAGCAAAACCCACCCAGGGCCCTGCTGCCCCGTGTGACTGCACGAACCCCGGGGGCTTCCTGAGACAGCCCCACAGTGCCCGGCGACCTCAGGCTCCCCATCCCACCCCACCCCCAGGTGACTTACCAAACCGACCCATCATCATCCTGCAAACAAGAACAGAGAGAACCGTCATCAGACGGGCCGCTCAGAACCCAGTTTAGCAAGCAGCACTGGAGGAGGGGAGGCGCCGCCTAAGTGGGGGCCCTGAACTGCCCAGGCGAAGGGCTATTTACAAAAATGTGAGTCACACTGTGATAGACTCTCTCTGCTCTAATTACCAACGAGAGGTGCCTATGTGGACTCTAAATGTTTGCACAAGACCACAGCAAATCGCTAGTGTTATTTAAACCACCCCTTTAATGCCATTTGGGGGACACTTAAGTCATGGGAGGGGTTAACATGGAGACCATTTCAGCAGAAAACGGGTCTTCTAGAAGCTGTTGAGTTTAAACTTTAAAATACCAGGGTGCGGATTATCCAGAGGTCACATTCTGTGATGCACTTCTGGAGAATCATGAAACTAAAGGATCCTGGAAAACCACAGGCTCAGCCCTGATTTCAAGGTAAGAGCTGAAACCGCGAAAGACGGGTAGCTAGTTCCTCCCTGGGGATCTGAAAGCACGAATGCACAGGTCCTTCCTGTGCACTCCCTTTCTGAGAGCCAGGGACCTTTGCTTCGTCCCCCAAATCCCTCTAGACTCAAGCAACCCCTTTGGTTCCATCTTATTTAACACATAGTCTCCTTAGCACCTACTACGTGCAGGCCATGGAGCTACAGAAATAAACACCCCCCCGGCCCTGCCCACGTGATGCCTGATGGTGAGAGAGACTCCTCAGCCCACAATTCAACACAGCCCATGTGCACCAGAAATGTGACCCACAGGAGATGCAACGGGAACTAAAAGGAAGCCGGCCATGCCTGCTTAGCAAACAGGGAGGGCTTCCTGGAGGAGGTGACCTCAGCGCTGCCTCTAGAAAGAAAGGAATGGGAAGAATGTTGAGGTTAGATGGGAGGTGGGGAGAAAGCCTTGAAAAACCGAAGGTAGATCTTTGGAGCTGCAGGGAGGGTGCGTTTTGAGGGGAATAAAGCCAGATGCAGGCAGACAGTGGGCTGGCGCTAAGGCATCTGATAATTTAGATGCTCCATCAGATCGGCTGGGGCCATGTGGAGGGGAAAGGACAGGAGAGAGCAAACCTGGAGTCTGAGAGACCAGGCAGGAAGCTGGGTGGCCTCTGCTGGAAACCTCTCTGCACCCTGACTTTGGGGCACTCCCCCTCCTCCTGAAATTCCTTTAGGGCCGCACAGCACTTCTCACAAGGTCCCTGGGCTGGATATCACACTTCAGACATGTCCTTTCTCGTCAGCTAGACTACTAACCCTCGAGGAGAGGAACCCATCCTCTCAGCCTCCAAGTACTGGTGCCTGGCACATAGCAGGCTCTCTGGGTGAATCATTGAAACCAATCTCCCACCAGCCAGCCCTGGTGACAGAGCCCCCACTGCCCTCTGCTGCCCTCTCGGGGCTCCCCCACCCCCTGCCAGACTGGGGAAGATGGGCACAGCCTCTCCCCATCATTGCTCGACCCCCTCAACGGGCCTGGCTGCTCCTGCCTTCAGCAGGTGTGGTCTCCCTCCCCCTCCCCCATCCAGGGTGACCTGGGACTTGCTCTGACCCACAGAATGTAAGGACACACAGTGTGTGGGGGTCCAGGGAGTCTGGGGGACTGCAGCTGCCCTATCACTCTCTGGAGACCCTGAGGGCAGCCGGAGGAAGCCTGGCTCTGCAAGGACAAGAGACACGGGGAGGGACAGGGGCCCCCACCGGCCAGCACCGACCACCAGACTGGCTGAGACCCACCCAGACTGCTGACCCACAGAACTGTAGGCAAATAAACTGACTGTTATTTTAAGCCCCTTGCCTTGGGGTGGTCTGTTACACCATGATGGGTAACTAGACACCACCCCACTCCTAGGGCCCCTCAAGCTGCCCTCCTCCTGCTCCTGAGCAGGCCGAGCTGGCTGCCCCAGGGCCACCATGCCAGGCTCAGCACCCCGTCCCTGTCCCCCCTCCTTCCCCCACACCCCCCACCCCCAACTCCCTCCCAGGGGCTTGGAACAGATGTGCACACACGTCAGGCCACAGGCCAGCGTCTCTCCAATTCACCTGACAGCTCCCATGCCAGGAGCGGTTTCCTGTGTCAGCTCGATTTTGGAAAGACCATACATGAATTCATGACACAGTAATTAATCACTCCGTGAACTGAGTGGGTGGGTTAGCCCAGACAATCAATTTTTAATGTTCTGTTTCATGTGAAACAGATTTAGTCAAGAGGCACAAATGCAGGGAATTTTAGAGATCCCTAACAGGGTGTCCTAAGGCCTCCTAAAAGCCACGTGCAAAACATACCATTTGATTTACTGTTTTCAATAGGTGTGAAGCCTTTTAGACTTCTTGAAAACTACCATCTGGGGTGGGGGGTGTAGCTCAGTGGTAGAGTGTGTGCTTAGCATACACAAGGTCCTAGGTTCAATCCCCAGTATCTCCGTTTAAAATAATAATAAATATAAATAAAAACGAATTAAAAGTGTTTTTAATTAGAAACAACAGTCGCTTGGCCTTCTCTGAGACACAAGGGACGGCCCGGCACTATCTCAAAGGCAGGTTCTAGCTTGGACGTGTGGCTCCCTCCTCCTGACGCAGCTAAAAGGGAGACAGGTCAGTGAGTCAGGGCACGGGCCCCTCTGACCATTCCAAACACCGCCTCCCCTCTCCACATGCTTGCAGTTCACCTCCTAAAATAAGGAATGACAAGTTCAAAGTCTTTGGAGGATAACTTAGTGCTAACACGAAAAACTTTGACGTCTTTAGCAAACCTACTCTATGGAAGTTCACTGCTTTAGGTTTCCACTCACCCTTTTCCTCTTTATAAAGAGGTTTTGAATGGGATCAACTATATTTTTACTTGTTTATCATACCCCGTCTCATTCCAGAAAAGACTGCGGGTGTCCTAAATAACTTCTAATTCCTATGCCACACACACTTGTTAATTTTTCTATTGGGGGAGAAATAAAAGATCTGTTCATTTTGCTTTTAAACACCAAACCAAACTGCTATCTTGCCCTTTGTTACCAAAAATAAAAACAGAACTACACTAAAATTAACGAAAGCAAACTGTGAAGAGAGTGCGTGGAGGATGGGAAGCCAGGGCGGACGCTTGTGAGAAAACCCCATCCCGAGGTCAAGGGACCCAGAGTGGAAGTCGACCCCAGGGTGTGCAGGTCCCCGGCCGGAGCAGCGCAGCCGGCCCACTTACTCCGTGGTCGTGGTCAGCTCCTCCGTGATGTGGCTGGAGTGCAGCAGGCCTTCCCGCTTCTGCAAATCCCAGAACGAACAATAAATGAACACCTGGGCAGGCGGAGAGGGCGGCGCATCACAGGCAGGGCAGCTGAAGCCGGGTGCCGACGGACGGCAGGTGACTACAGGGTGACCCTTCGGTGGCCAGAACCTGCTCCAACCTCCCCCCCGACCCTGTACACCAAGCTGCCCTGAAAGCTGGCAGCTGGGGGGAGTGTCTCTGGTCACCCCAGCTCCCAAAGGAATCCCGGACGTCCTGCAGCCGGGAGAGGCGAGGAGCCTGAGGGAAGCACTGGATGAAACACGCAGGGTCCCCCCAGAAGCCAGGTCCACTCAGAACCTCAGAATGGGCCCGTTTGGAAATGGGGTCTTTGCAGATGTGATTAGTTATGATGAGGCCATACTGGATGAGGGTGGGTCCTAAATCCAGGACTGGTGTCCTTATAAGAGAGAAAACAGAGACACAGGAACACAGACCCCGAGAGAAGAGGCCGTGCAAGGACGGAGGCAGAGGCTGGAGGGCTGGGACGGGGAGGAGGCCGGCACCGCAGCAGCCGGAACAGGGAAGGAAGGTCCTCCCTGGAGCCGTCGGAGGGACCCCGTCGATGCCAGGCTTCTGCAACATGAGGAAGCAAAGTCTGCTGTTTAAAGCCACCCAGTCGGTGGGACTTTGTTACAACAGCCCTGGGACCCTAACACGGTGCGGGACACACCTCTCCCGGGGCCGGCAGGAGCAGAGAGGAAGGGATGGTGGGGGAGGGGGAGAGGGCGGGGTGGTGGCAGGGCAGAGAAAGCCCATATGGCCCCGACCTCCGGACGGAGCGGGGCGGCCAGCTCACCCAAGCACCACCACGAGCCCCCACCAGAACCCTTCGAGGCACAGGGAGCTCAGCTCACTTCCTGTGGGGCAGCCCACCACGGACCCCTCTCAAGATCCAAGCTCCCCGGCCTCTCCTGAGCTCGGCCGCCAGGGAACTCTCACCGCTGGTTCTCGTGATGGAGAGTAACCACCACAGGGCAGCTGTCAGCTTCCCCAGGGCCTCGCCATGGCTGACTCTCAGGGGTTCCGTGAGGGAGGCCCAGAGACACTGTGTTCACTTACGCACACGTCAAAGGTGCGCTAGGCACCGACTGGATGCCGGGCCCAGGCCTGGCTACGGGACAGACGGGGCTGAATACTTTAAGTCTACAGTAGTATCTCAATTTTACGGGCAAAGCATTGCAGCTCAGAGAGAAACCAAGTGATCTCTCAAGGCCACGCTGCCAGGGAGCAAATGGTCCCTTTTTCATCCCTTCTCTCCACAAACTGCCACCCTCCTCACACCTCTCCGTCTCAGACTGGATAACCCGACGTCGAAGGCCTGAGTCTGGCCAGTTCCCGGGCCCTCTCCTCCCCTCTTCATTCCACTCTGGACGTGGCCCAAAGAATCCTTCCGTAACCCCGGTCACAGAAGGCAGCCCCAGCGAGAGCTTGCCCGGGCCAGAAAAGCGTCCTGCAAACCCAAAAGATTTTCTTGGACCAAAGTGCAGGCCTGAAAGGAAACATCCTGATTACTGAGCTGCACAGCATTTGCGGAGGCCCGAGTCTGACGTACATGGGTCTGGGAACCATGTTCTCATGTGTCTTTGGGAAGGCCTTCCCAGCCAGTTGCCCCAAGGGAGCATCCAAGACAAAGGCGGCAGGGATGGCCCCGTGTCCCCATCACCACCTCTGACCCCAAACATTCCCCCTTAGGAAGCAAACGGGGTCAAAAGGCAGGGAACCCTCGCTTGATGCCAGAAAGGGGCACTCCCAGCTATCGGGTCGGGGCCGAGCTCCCAGGGTAAGGGAGGGTCAGGCGGCTTTGGAAAACACAGGATCAGCCAGAGCCTCACAGACCGCAGAGACCACGGGAGTGATAAGTTTAAAAACCAGAGGAGAGTGTGGAGCTGGACATCTCCAGTAACATAAACACAGGAGACATCCAGGTTCCAAATGTAACCTCAAGGCTCTGGCAGAAGCAGCTGTTCCTCCAGGACCTAAGCATGCTTTCCTCATCAGTGCCCACCGACAGCCAGGGCGGGGGGCCAGGGACACAGTAGGCACTTAATACCCGTTTACTGGGTGAGACCGCACACACAAAGTCAAGGCCGGGCTTGTCCCCTTAAATGCAGATAGCAAAGGTGACGCCACCTCCGTCAGGAGGACCCTGGCTCCCAGTTACATTTTCCCAAGTGAAACAAGAGAAATGATCCTAAAAAGGAGACACTGGGAGATGATGGATGTAACTGGGCGCAAACGCAGCAGCCGCCTTTGATTGGGGCATCAGGGTAACTACTTCATACCACTGCTCTCAACCCTCTCCAGTGAGTAATAAGCTTATTCAAGAGGACTGATTTCCAGCTACTTGGCTTTGGAAAGAAATGAATGCTCTTTTCAAAAATGTGGCAAATTAAACCTGAACGCACTCATGCCTTTGAATCTGCCTCTCTTCAAATCAGTGCCATTGTTCCTGTTCCATCATTTACCTTGAAGCCAGGGCAAGGTGTACATTTTGTCAAGAGGGAAAAAATAGAAGGTAGCCTCTTAGGGAACAAAGGAAAAAGCAGGCAAACTAGAGGAGGAACAAGTCCCGGTGCCTCGCGGGCAGAGCTGCGGGCAAGCTGACCACCAGGCTGGCGATACTCACCCGCACGACCACCACTTGCACGGAGACGTGTTCAGGAAGGCGGATCGGGGCCCGGAAATGCATGGCCAGGGCCACGAGGAGGTGGAGGATGGCCACCAGGTTCTTCCCGTGAATTGCTGGTCGGGGAGGGAAGAAGGGACTGGTTTAGATCATTAGACGGGAACCCAGAGCCCACGTCCAAAAGGCAAGGAAGATGCTGAGTGCAAATGAGACCTCAGAGGAAAACCACGGGAAAAGCCACAGGCCATGGAAAGCTGGACTGACGGGCAGCCTGTGTGAATTTAGTTCTAGCTTCTGATTTATTTGCTTTCCTGTTGGCCTCCAGTGACTTGTGCAATCACTTTCAAAAGCAGGTTGTTTGTTAAAAAAAAAAAAGTGAACTGGGTGGTAAGGAGACAGAATGAGCAGGAAAAAGAGGTCGCCTGGCCACTTACCCAGCGTAATAATATATTATTATTAAGCATTATTGCAATAAGCAACAATGCATTATTAAGCATCTCGGGTGCTTAAAATTCTCAGCCATCTCCACAGGGCAGGCTATATGGGCAAAAGATGTTTGGGGATGTCAGAAGTGACTCCTGCCCTGCCTGGGGCCCTGGCTGCCACCCCCAACTCCACCAGCTCTTCTCTAGGATGTGGACCAAGGTGCGGTCACTCTCATCCTGTGCGGGGCTTTACTGTTTACTGAGCACTGGATTCCCCGGCCCCGGCCCCGCAACCCAAGAAGCGAGCCTGGGTCTGCCCTACGTCTCGAGGCCAAAACACCAGGGGCAAATCTGACTGCAGCCTTGGTCTCCCCCAAGCACAGGGGCCCCTGGTGACAGGGACAGCCTCTAAGCCTCGCTCTGGCTGCCCTGCCCTGGGGATGGGTCTGGGGCAGGGGCAGCAGGACAGAGAGCTTTCCGGCCTCTCCTGGTTTTAGTGCTTCACTTTTCTGGTTTTATGTCTCGGCTGGAAACATCATCATGCCACAGATTCCTAAAGCCAGTAAGCTCCGAGACGTATCCTGGGGGTGGGGGCCCTTCCAAGAACCCCAGAAACCTTCTTGTGTCTTATAACCCAAATTCCTGCCCTGCCTCTGGAAGCCTTGCTCGATCCAGCCAACAAGAAAGGACACCTCTCTACTGCGGAGCTTGGGGAAGTCCGAGGCGGGTGTGACTTGGCCCCTTATCTACACGCCTTCTCCTCTCCTGGCTGCCTCTCACAGAGCAGGAGTGTGACCTGGTTTTAAAGTGCAAGGCCAGACGCGAAGGGGAATGACCAGGTGGCCAGCTCAGAGGCCGGGCCCCCCACGCTCCCCAGCCCCGGCGGCCGCTCACAGTCCACGCTCCACTGGAGCGCCCAGCCGTGGGGCCGCAGCAGCTCGTGCACTGCCTCCAGCACCGTCTGCAGCTTCTGCTTCTGTCCTATCTCGGACTGCGTCACCTCAGCCACATTCAGCTTGCGGTCTGCCAGTTTCTCTGCATCGAGAAGGACAAGAGCGAAAGGCAGAGCATCAGGGAAAACTGCAGGGACTCGGGGACACCCGGTCAACCAGCCACAATGCACCTCCCCACCCCGCCACCTCCGCCAGGTGGAGACACCTAGCAGGTCCCCACACAACAGTGGGGCGCGGTCAAGACATGCAGCCTGGAACTCTGAACTTCCAAGCCACTCCAATTCCTTAGAAAGTCACTCTGGGATGAAAGGGGGCGGGGAGTTCAAGGATAAAACTCGGGCATCCCACCCAGGAATATTCTATGTCCACAGAACAGACATGATTCGAGGTGCAGCTGGGAGGCAAGGAGGTGCCCTGAGGGGCGGGATGGGAGGTGAGGAGGTGGTGCCAGCGGGTTCCCAGAGGGAAGAGGACTTTGATGAGGAAATAAAAAGGGGCTCAGACGCAGCCTTCCGCATCCCTGCACACGTGCCCTCCATTCTTCTTTCTCCATCACTGGGACACCACGGGAAGAAGGATTCTTAGGTATTCAGGTACCCGTGACTATTTTCTTGCCAAGAGTGAGCAGGACGCAGATCTGGAGGAGCCAGACAAGAACTGTCACGTGTGCTCAAGATGCAGTGACTGAGATGAGGGGAGCAGGAGGGACACCTGACACCACACCTGCGGAGGGGCAGTGGGGAAGGATGGCCAAGCTTCTCTTCTACTCGTTTATTCTAAGACCCAGGGGTTATCTGATAGGTCTCCTCTGCAAAACAGAAGCCACGTCGCAGAACATCATGAGCTCAGGAACCCAGAGGGTGATTACAAAGTCCTGGGCACAGAGCCCGACGCACTGCAAGACTCTGGCGCAGAGCTGCTGTCAGGGGCACTGATGGGAGGGAGATCAGAAAGGCAGTCGGGTCCAGGCTGGGCACAAACAGGGCTTCCACTTTGCGAGTGGTCCCCAGCAAAGTTCTGTTTCAGGCGCTTTTGCTGGAAGCCCGTCCCCACATCCATCCCTTCCTCCATTAGAACAAGAATGAGCAGTTTGATGTTCCTTCCAGGACCCTGTAATCACACAGCAGTACCTGCTGGGCTCAGGATGCTCTGTCAACCATTCATTCATTCCTTCATTCACTCACAGCACAGTTCCCGGGCACTGTCCTAGGGCTGGACATAGCACAGAGGGCTCTAGTGTGGGGTGGGGTCAGCCCTACCTGGAGAACGTGAGCTTGGGGAGCAGTGAGTGCTGGGGGCAGAACAAAGCAGCTCGACAAAGCACATCCTGCCGGGGATGGAAGTGATTCCCATTTATGCGTTTTGATTTCCCTCCACCTGTATCTAATAGGTCTTAGAGATGAATAATCTGTCCATACGAACCCCCTGAAAACATACCACGGTCCCCAGGTGCTCAACAGGCAGGGACAGGGCGGACCAAGGGTCCCTGGGGAAGGCAGCAAGGCTGAGAGAGCCAGGTGGTCCGGAGAGAGCCTCGCCCACTGGGAGAGACGAGGAGCCTGGCACGTCCCCGCCGTCCCCTTCCTCAGCCACCCCCGCAGACTGAACGTGGCGCCCGGGGGGAGGAGGAGGAGAGGACGGGGAAGGGGAGAGTGTTAGCCTTAACAAAGCACCAGAACGGGGGGCTGAGACAGTGGAGATTCACTTCCTCATGGTCCTGGCGTCAGCACACTAGGCCCCTCCTCGGCGCGTAGACATCCTGACATGGTCACCCTTCTCTGCGTGTCTGCATCCTAATCTCCTCTTCTTAAAAGGACACCAGTCTTATGGGTTTAGGGCCCACCCCAATGACCTCATCTTAACTGTTTCCAAATACAGTCACATTCTGAGGTCCCGAGGGTTAGGACTCCAACATATGAATTCTAGGGGGGACACAGCTCAGCCCGTAACAGAAACCCAGGCGGCTGGTCGTGCCTGGTGCTGCCTGCAGCAGGGTCTCGGGTGACCCTACAGTGTGGAAGAGAACCAGGTCCTTGGCCGCCCGTGTCACCAGCATCCCTCTGACGGGGCTGCAGGAATGGCCTGGGGCTTTGGCACAGCCAGGATCCCCACTTTCATGGCAGGGAAAGAGACAGAGGAAAACGTGGCAGGCAAACGTGGCAACGGCCGAATGTGGGGCTGCACGTGCTAATTACTCGAGGGAGGTCCTGCATCTTTCCTCAAGAAGAAGGGTGTGCCGTGAGCCAGGAGCAGGACGACAGCCCGCCCCAGAGCGCCCTCAACACGCTGGTGTGGGGACCCTCACTGCGCACAAGTGGTCCACCTGGGCAAGGCTGCAAGTTACACCCCCTGAAACCTGCCCACAGCAGAGGGCCTGAGAGCTGCTCCCTGAATCTGCTCTTAAGGAGAGGGGGCTCACTGAGGGGCCCACTGGTGACTCACACCTGGCCAAACCCAGAGGTCCATCCTCTGTCCTCCCCTCCCTCACTCCTGCCTCCTTGAAACCTCCTCTTCTCTATCCTTCCCCTGACTCCTCCTCCCTCCCAGATGGACCCTTCAGACTCCTGGGCTGGCTCTTCTTCTGACCACTGGCCGCCCCCCAGGGCCCAGTCCCCAGACCTCTTCTCTCTACAAGTGCACAGAAGTCAGCTTTGGCGTTGGCATTTGGCCAGAATCTCCTATTTGGCTTTAGCGTCCGCCTTCGGAGAGCGAAGAGTTAAATGCTTCCATCAGGGTCCTTCCCGGCATCCATGGGCCCCAGAGTCACGTGGCACGTAGATTACTAACTAAGGCCTCTCGTCGGTGTAACCACATCACTAACACGACCAGGCAAGACCTTGTGTTGTTCTGTTAACATCTGAACATTCTCTTCCGTTGTTCTAGCCTTCACACAGAGCGGTATGTCAAACCACTTGACATGCAAGAGATTTGAGAATTGCCTAATCAAATAGTCCTTATGCAAGATACTCAAACAGGACAGAGTTGCAGCCACTTCACGGTAAAAAGGCTGCCAGAGCCCAAGTCAGCCTCGTGTTCTACATTACAGATAACAAGACGGACATAGCAGGATTCACTGACGACCACAGCAGCTTCAGAGCAAGGGCCGCATTCGCTGGGGCCAACTGAAGTGGGGACCAAAAGGATGTACCTTGAGTAGGCAAGGATTTCTAATGGGATACCTGCCCCTAGATGCCCCTGTCACTCTCCTCCGTGAAGGGTGCTGGCACCATTCACAGGCACCTAAGGCTGAATGCAGATGCACACCCAGAGCTGGCCCTGTGGTCCTAAGAGCCAGACTCCACAGTCACGCTGCTAGAACTAACGCTTAGGGACACAATTTTTTCAAATTATTGGGTGGGTGAAGCCAGAAGTGTACGCAAAAAGAGTAACAAATAAAAATGCAAGTGAGGACAACACTCTAATGTTTGCTTCTGAAAATATTAGAAAGTATCTCCTTTGGACAGTGAACAAAGAACCAGTTCAAAGGACTACTTTAAAAAACAAGCTTTGTCACCAATAGCCAACTTCTCAAGTCCAAGAGTCAAAGGGAAACTAGGTCTTTACCATAGAGAGGGAAGGAAGCTGATACCCAGGGCAGCTTCACCATCAGCAGAATCCCTGTGGGCAGTGTCAGCCTAAGAGCCATGCCCTCCTCTCTCCTCCTGTGTTGAAAGTGAGTGTATCATCACAAATTCTAGTTTGATGGCCTTGAGAGCAACCTAGCACCTGATGGTGCTGGGAATGACACAACACAAAACAAAGCTCCAACCAACATTTTTAATAATAAAATTGTGACAATTATTAAACAATCTTGATAACTTAATTTTAGATGTATTCTTGTACCAAAGCAGCTCATTCTAAGATGGGGGGTTCTCAGCTTAGCCAAACAGAGATTTAATTCTTGGCCAATGGCGTTCAGTCAAATACTGAAATTGGAACATCGTCTCCAGGTGAGGCCATCAGTCCCACAGCATTAAACATCTCTGCACTGCCAACCTCCACCCTTACCCCACAGCTGACTCAGGTGGGCTACAACACCTCCCTCCTCATTCCCCACCCCCGATGCTAGTCCCAAGGGCTTCCTCATTCACCAGTTTCTTCAGGCCACAAACCTGGCCATCAGCCTTGATGCCTCGGACAGCTTTAACCTCCAAAATACCTCCCCAAGTCCGCACCTCCATCCTGGACCGAGCCACTGCATCCAGTGCCTGGGCTGCCGCGGCAGTGTCCTGACTGACCTCTCAGCTCCCGCTCCTGACCCTCTCCTCATCCATCCCGCACCCAGAAGCCC